GTCTGAGCAGCGTTCTGCATGCATGAGCTTAAAACTTGAGTGGTGGGGAGCGCGTAACATGTACAGCTCCCGCGTTTATTACCTTGCGGGGTGGGAGGTGGGGGAAGTACATCGCCTGCCTTGAGGCTGCTCCTGTAACAGCCTATCACCGTTTACAGAACAGAGGTACAGCGCCTGATGCAAGCTGCCTGTTCCCTTGGCACCAAGGGGAGAAAAATTTACTCTGTGAGCCTATTGGGGCTGTCCCCGGGGACGCGGCACCGCTGGTGGGTAACACCGGGGCAGGGCAGCACCGAGGGGTCTCCCGGAGAGGTCTGAGTGGGGCCTGGGACACAGCCTCCGGGGAGCCGAACCTGGAAAAGGAGATCCCGACGACTTCATGCAAACTTGTGACCCTGACAATTAGATTAGCGTTTTAAGCATTTAATTTCTCTGGTTTTCTCTTCCTTCCTGGGCATGCAGAGTTACACGCTGGGGCTCTGATCTGCAGAAGTTGCTAGTATCCACATCTCCAGTGAAGCTACTGACAACTGAAGTGCTAGGTGTATTAGCAAGCTGCAGTTAGACTGCCAACACTTACAACACCCAAAATAAACTATGTTTTTAACAATTTTATTTTCTTTTTGTATGTCTTCAAAAGACGAATGGTTATGTGTGGCATGTCTTCTGCGAATACTGTGAAGCAAAGCTCATTGCTATTTATAACGCATTTATGAGTTATCAATTGGAAGTGCCTTTAAACTATGATTTTATGCTATACTTGAGGCAATCGGGTACTGGAAGTGGTCAACCAAGTATATGTAAATTGTTATTCATCATATGGACTTTACATCGAGATCAGGTGTTTTTCAATGATCCACTTCAAATACAAGCTAGAGAGCCATAGCTCCACTGATGCTACAGGGAACTTGGGTGTTTTGCTGCTAACTTTGGTTGTATTACAGCACCTGCATTTGTCCCTAAAATAGCTCATGACTCAGGGTTTCAAAAAAATGTAGTATCTTGGTGGCCACTAATGTTTGGTCCAGTTTGCAAGAGCTCTGTATATTGCGTGTGCATACAATATAAAAAGATTTTCTGAAAAGAAAAAATACACCCAACCCCTAGTCCTTCTCCAGCTGACCAAACAAGAATCCAGGTTCCCCTGCCTTTAAACACAATCCCTTGAGAGAGGGGCTCTATTCAACCACTGTTGCTGCAAGTGGGTCTTCACCGCCTTGCTCACTGGCGAAATGTGTCTGGCTTCACAAACCAGCTGCTGTTGTTTTCATTGCAGTTTCTCTGGGATTTCACAATTGCAAAGAGTCCCTTGGGCTTCTCTGCTTTCCATGATGCTGTGTTCTTGGCACTGTAATACTGTGGTGTGGGAAGAAGGCTGAGGGCAGGTAAAGTGCATTTTTTCTAGGTGTGATGGGCCACAGAGTGATGAGTCAATAGTGGGGAGAGGATCCAGGCATACAGTCCTTGCTTCATCCAGAGCCCGAGAACCTGAGCAGTTACTGGAGATGATGCCCCCTGCTTTTGAGTGTAGTCACTCTGAACTTGTGACGTTAGTGGAAAGTTAGTAGCATAAAAGTCGTAATAAGCAGGAATCCAGTTCAAAAGGAAAATACATACATTTTCTGAAGATTTGTGGGGGTTGATGCAAGCTTGACATTAACTTGCATCTACTCAATCTAAGCCTGTTCTGTTGGTAAGATTGCAAAGATAAGTGCCACATCTTTGCATCTCAATCATTTTTGCTTTAAATAATTTAAAATATATTAAAGATATATATATTTCCTGTTTAAAAAAGAACTTTTGTATGCAGTATTAGTATTCAGGTGTGCACAAAACCAGTCAAAAGCATAAAAGAGAAAAGTGAGGCTCCTCATTTAATCCTGACTCTGAATCTTCAGTTACATAATTTTGTTTTCCATTATCTAAGATGTACTGTAATATCCATCATACATTTTCATTAATCTTGCACAGAGCATGTTCAACAGCTTGAAATTTGCCTTCATTCTGCTACTTTTCATTCTTTCCCATTAGCATGGTTATTCATTATCTTTATCACCTTTATGCAGTTCGTATTTCTCTGTCTTGTGAATTGGCTGAATCCTCCATAACTAGTCATTTAAATAACATCAATGGGGGATCAAGCTCCAAGTGCACTAATAGGAAAGAGTTGAGATGTCGTCTTTAAGACCTACAGCAGAGGAAGGATGAAGTATGATTTTAACTCAGGCTGTCCCAGGCTGTCCTCTCATGTCCAAAAAAAAAAGCCTGCACCACCGCATGGCTCTGACTTGTTGCCCTGCTACCTCTCCTGCCTCAAACACCCTGCAGGACCTCTGTTCTTAACTTAAAGTTGTTTAAGTATAAGTCAAGTCCCCTTTTCTCTGCCTCTTGATTTGGAAAGATAAAGCCAGTAAGCCATTTCAGTGTGTGTTTCTACTGGTACTGAGGTGTAGACTCAACAATTGGTCCCAGCTTATCTGCTCATGCAGCAAATGTTAAATGTGCCCAGTTGTTCTTCCTCACTGTCACCAATACCTTCCATAGCCGAGTTAAGACTATTGACAGCTTAGTCTGAAAATAGTATCCATCTGTGAAAATTTCATACCAGGAATACAACGTATTTTAGCTTCAATCCACAGTATGAGGCAAACCAGTCAGCTCTTGGAGGAACCTACATGTTCAAACTGTCTTTAGTTACATGTGTACTGTAAGAGATACGTGCCACTTAACTACAAAGGTAACTTACCCAGCAGCCAGTCTGGAGAGGTTACACACATTGGCAGGTTTTCATTGTTTTCTGTGAAAGAAACAGTAGCTTTGACCAATCAACTCCATCGATGTGTTAGTATGAAATACTTCAAGGCCTTCTTTGTATGTTTATCTAACAGTAAGAAAAAAGTAGAATGGTTTGGAAAGGTAATAACTTGAGAAGCAAAATATATGCATATATTTAAAGAGAACAGCCCACATTTTCAGTTAGTACAGAGTCTGAGTTGCTCCATTCACTGCCAGTTTTCAATAGTGAGGAGCTAGCCATATCTTCTGAGGGCTCACAAAACAGATAAGGAGCTTTTTCAGTCAGTTTTTGACAACTTTCTTCTCTCTTTTGAGTGTTGTGAAGCCGACGGCTCTTTTTATTTCTCTGCAGAAGAAAAGAAGACAAAAAATCACCATCTCTGGTAATTTGTATTGTTGCATTTCTAGTCTCCATGGAAACCTATTTGGTGCTCCACAGTTGGGTAAAATTTCAATGTGTTGCAGCAAGAATTGGATGGAGGGAAGACTGGGTTCTGCACCTTGCCTATTAATCAATTAAAAATGGTTTTGGAATTATTTTCACATTGTGTCGCACTCTTCACTTAAAGTAACAATGGAAGAAATCAAAGTGATCAAATTAAGCTGTTATGGCCTGATCCTACACCCACCTATGCACATAACTCTGCCGCTCAGTTTGATTCTCATAGGCATTGACGTTGATTTGGAAGAATTCATTGTTTTTTAGTAGGATTATATGGATTAAAGCTATGGAACTGAAAGCATAATAGCAAACTGTCAAGCTGACGCTAATAAAAAGCTTGCCAGAGAGGTGGTAGCAATCCCCTTGTTGCAATTTATGTAAGCAAAGCATTTTGAAAATCAAGAACCTTAAATCTTACCTTTCTCTGTCTTCACTGTTGTTCTTCCACTACTAAGGAAGAAATACAACTCAAAATTGGTTTCCTCTGAAAAGAGTTTGTAACTTCATCTACCTGCCTCTTCAGGATTTCCTGTCTTTTTTTTTTTCTCAAGCTTTATGAACTTGAATACGAATCTTACTGGGACAGCAGAAGGTAATACAGAAGAGGAATATACAGAGAGAGATCAGTCTTTTTCATGACCTGTCAACCCATGAAGAGTGAGTGCTCTCAGCCATCTAAAAGTAAGTTAAGCATATTGTAATGGAACTAATGCAGCCTACCGTCATCCTGTAAATAATCCTGCATAGATAGCCATGATAATAAGGTACACACACACACAAAAAACCCCAAACCAAAACCCAACCAAAACATTGATTAGAGAATTTTCTAAGCATTTTACATTTGCTCAATAAAAACCCAGTATTCGCTTTACAACTGCACTAAACCACAATGGTGAAATATGGTAGTGATTTATGCTATTCACTATAACCAGATGACAAAATCTGAGCATTTTATATGTATTTTGAGGGTATTTACTGCATTTGTTTCAGAATACCTTGGAGAAAATGTATGCTAGTCGAGAGGATATTGGATATGATTTTGGAGAGGACTCAAAAGTTGGAAGTAAGCCAATTAAGCCTAATCCAAACATCGATGGAGGATGGGCTTGGATGATTGTACTTTCCTCTTTCCTTGTGCACATACTTATCATGGGGTCCCAAATGGCCCTTGGAATACTCAACATGGAATGGCTTGAAGAGTTTAATCAAAGTCGTGGCTTAACAGCATGGGTTAGTTCCCTCAGCATGGGCATTACACTTATAGTAGGTATGTTCCAGCCTAATTTATTTCAAAACTGTGTAAGATTTTTAGAATATCTTTGCCACTCATCCCTCAAGTGTCTTCTTACAGTTTTCCATTTTATTTGCAGAGCTGCCCAAGTTGCCTTTTTAATGTCAATGGGACAATTTTTACAAGTTAGGGGGAGGAAGGGAACAACAGGGAAGATGATAGAGAAGACAATTACTCCAGGAGGCAGCATGGGCAGGAAAGGATGGCTGTGACTTCAAGGTCTCACTAGAATTAAGAAACAAGATGATCTATGAAGGTTGTGGTCCTCCCTGTGCTATTATCTGAGAGGAGAAGATACTGAGTTTGGACAGTTTGTATTTCAGTTTGGCAGCTAAACTAAAAATTATCTTTTAAGTTATGGGTGGATCAACCCAAAATAATACCTGGAGGGGTATGTTTGTGCATACATGTATATACATACCTCTGTCTTCCCTTCTTTGTAGGACAACTGTGATTTTAGGTCCTGAGTGTATTTGCTAAGTATTTGGTTGGTTGGTTGAATTTTTCTTTCCACCATTTTAAACAGTAATAAGGAAAATAAAACGGATTGCATGAGCAGCCTGATGTTTAACATTTTGTTTAAAACATTGTGAGTCTGTGTGAAAAAAATTATTAAACAGTGTAGAGAATTAAATAATTATAACATTTTCCCATGTTTTTTAACAGGCCCTTTCATTGGTTTATTCATCAGCATGTGTGGGTGCCGCAAGACAGCTATAACTGGGGGGATACTGAATGCCCTAGGTTGGATACTGAGTGCCTATGCCTCAGATGTGCACTACCTCTTCCTCACATTTGGAGTGACAGCCGGTAAGAGCTGAACTAATGTTTGAAAACACTTTCAATCATTTTTTCCTTCCTCTGAAGGTTATCTGGGTGCATAAGGAGGGAAGTTACACTGTAAAGTTAGTCCAACTTTTCTTTCACACTCTTTGCAGACTGTTAATTTTTCAGAAAACTTATTATTTTCTCACTGGTTTAGGCCCAGTGACTTCTGCTGTCATTTAAATCTGTGATGTAAAGATGGTATTTTTATCAGTTTCTTCCAAGCAAATATATTAGAGGTAATTTTTAATTAGAAGATATAATGTAACCCAAACTCTAACAAGTGGAATTTGAAGATGTTAAAGCACTGTTGAATTATATGTCTACCTAACTCTTCTCTTTGTCACAGGAAGAAACTGCAAATGTTTTCTACAGGAGTTGCTCCACACTGATAAAATACCAGATTATGCTAACTATGTACTGCTTCAAAACCCATTTTAAAGGGCGTTGTGGGTTACTGCTGGTGGGCAGCTAAGCCTCACAGAGCTGCTCGCTCACTCTCCTGCAGTGGGGTGGGGGAGAGATTCAGAAGGGTGAAAGTCAGATAAAGACAATTTAATCATAGAATTATAGAATCATAGAGTAATTAGGGTTGGAAAGGACCTTAAGAATATCTAATCCCAACTCTCATAATAATGAATAAATAATAATAAATAGTAAATAAATAATACTAGGTAAAGCAAAAGCAGCATGCACAAGCAAAGCAAACCAAGGAATTCATTCACCACTTCCTGTCAGCAGGCAGATGTTTAGCCATTTCCAGTAAAGCAGGGCTTCAATGTGTCTAGCTGTTACTTGAGAAGAGAAACACCACAACTCTGAATGTCCTCCCTTCCTCCTCCTTTCCCCATGTTACTGCTGAGCATGACACCATCTGGTATGGGATGTCCCTTTGGTCAGTTGGGGTCAGCTGTCCCAGCTGTGTCCCCTCCCAGCTTCTTGTGTACCCCCAGAAAACTCACTGGCAGGGCGTGTGAGAAACAGAAAAGGCCTTGATGCTGTCTAAGCACTGTCCAGAAACACCTAACACACGCCTGTGTGATCATCAGTGTTTGGGTCACAAATCCAAAACATAGCACCATATGAGCTACTATGAAGAAAATTAACCCTGTCTTATCCTCAGTTAGGACAATGCATGTGACTATATGTCATGTGAAAGGTAGAGATTTTCTTGACTCCTAGTATTCGATCTGTTGATCAGTGCCCCAGTATGCTGAGACCCTTGTTCCCAACCAGTCAGCATCGTGTTACAGGGACTCTTCACCAAACGGTCCTGAGGGATTGGAGGGAGATTTGACTGACTTGTTCAGGGAAATGCACCTACAGCATCAGGGGGACCCCTCAGTGGCTCTGCCCACTTTATCTGAATGTGTTACCTGCTGCTGGTGACTGCTGGCACCCACAAAGGACTAACACTGACAGTTTATGGAATGACACTGTTTATTAATATAAAATCATGACAAATTAAGGTTTGTGGATTGCTGGTGGTAATATGTGACTGCAAAAATGTATTTAAAGCAATAGACAGACAAGCTCTAATCTCCAATGACAGTATGCAGTGCGCATAAAGTGTAAATCTTACCCAATAGGTGTCCCTATGGGGGAGAAGACAGGTTCAGCCCGTTGACTGATCTCAGTAGTTCTGTGAGAGTCTTCCCTAACTTCTCCCCCATTCTCAACTTACTTTTATAGTGTTTCTTTATGTTTAGGTGGAGCTTGAATGACTCTAGTCATACATTCTTTTATTATTGATTGGTGTGACATTCTCTCACTTCTCACTTAAATATATAGCTGATTAAAAATGCGAAGTGCATAAAGTGGGCGTACCTTGGAGGCAGGTAACTTTGGGATGGAGGTGTGTGTTAGTATTATAATGAGATTATAATAAGCAGGGTTTTCCTAAGGGCAGTGATTTCACCACAGTTGCTGGCTCAGCCAGGGACATCTTCTCTTATATTTCCCATTTGACAGCTGCTGTGTGGCTTATCAGCTGTACGGTACCATCAAATTCCCAGGTCTGCGGGGAGTACAACAGAGCCTGGCTGCAGTGTCACCACTCTGCTCTAACCTCCATTGTTCCATTAGGATAGCAGTTTGCGTTGCCTAAGGAACGATGGAGGGGTAGAGTCCGTGCATACCAACTGTCCTGAAAGTGGCAACTGTATTTTACCCTAAAAAGTTTTCTATAATCCCAGTTTTCTCTATTCCCCCTCTCCCACAAGTGATTTTCCCAGACTTTATTTCATACATAGCTTTTAATAAAGGCTATTTGGATTATATCAACAACCACTAAGAAATAGCAACTAATTTTGTTACATTTTTTACAATCAGAATGACTGAAACAAGTAATATTTTGTCATTTTTATTGGAATTAGCTCTCTAGAAAACCTTTTGACATGTCTAAGAGCCTAATCAAGTTATGAAGAGGCACGGGTGTTTTGGCATCTTTCTTGAAAACCAGCAGATACTTCATGCCTGAATGCTCAGTTTCTATCAAAATGTGGCTTCTTGTGAAAAAATTTAGTTACTTTAAGAAAATTATGTAGAAGAACCCAGTATTATCTACTTAAAGCACCATTTTATTCATTGTTCATTTCTGGAAAGTGATACTGCTATTAGAAAAGAAAAATGTTAAGGTGATCCAAGTAAGAAATACAAAATTTGGTCTTTAATTATTATCTGAGCAACACAGAGCAATTTAAGGGGCTTTGAAATACTATTCACTCCATGGATAACATGGCCAGTTACGTTTGTAAATGAAGCATGGTATCTATGTTGTATGTGACACACAGATGCATTATGAAAAAACCCAAATTGTTTACAGTACTATGATAGCTTCAGTACCCTCCATTCCCTCAGAGTATGCTTTCATAGAATTTCATAGGTATCTGCAGAATTCCTTTACATAGTTTTTATCAAGCTCTCTGGATGGAAAAAAAAAGTGAAACTAGCAAGGATTGTTGTGATGACTCCTCATACCACCATACCAGAGATTTCAGTAATGTAAATTCCTGAGCAAAGAGCAATAATGACAGGCAGGGTTCTGCCCTTTCTGGAATTTCTGTTTCCATATATATTGAATATTATCAAGCAGACAGGAATCTACGCACTCTTTTTCTCAGCCCTTGCTGCTTTTCAGAAGGATCATACACAAAATATCAGACAAAAAGGCAGAGGTTATACAGTGAATTTAAAGAGGGGTGAAAACCGCATTTTCAGAAAGAAGTGGAGGCAAATTTTTACATGAGGTGTAGAAGTGAGATGCTGCTGCAGGAAAAAAAACAGTGTAGAGATGCCTGAGACGTTTCTTCCAGCTCCATGAGACCTCCATTCACCACGTCCTCTCTTGCCATCCCCTCACTCACCGTCCCTGCACTCACGATCTCCTCACTCACTCATTGCCTCAGTCCCTGTCCACTCACTCCTATCCCCTTGCTCACGGTCACCTCACCCACCACCACCTCAGGGAAGTGTCTTTCATGTTCTCCTGGCCGCCAGATGTAAGGCTGCTGTTCACTTATGGTGGCCGCCTCCTACTGCGGTTACTTCTGGGCCTCCATTACTTGTGGGCTTACTCATGGCTCCTGTTCTCCCTGGTGGTGACGCACTGTGCCAGATGCCCTCACGCAGTATGTCCCTGTGATCCCCACTTTGTCTCCCTGACTACAGCCATCCTGCTGCTTCAGCTAACATCCCCAAAGCGCCCCTCACCTCAGCATGTTTCCCCACCCCAGCTCCTCAGAGCCTTGTCCGCTCACCTCCTGGTCAACAGCTTCATCCAGCTCCACGGGCTCTCCTCCCAGCAGCAGCAGCAAGGCAGAGGAACCTTCTTCCCCCTCACCCTTCCTGGGGAGCCCCGGGGCGGGTGCTGTAGCCCCTGGCAGCAGGGAGTCCCTGTGGGCTAAGGGGCAAAATGCCCCCGAGGCTCTGCATGGGGCCAGGCAGGGAGACGAGAGCCGGCCATGCTGCTGCCATCACAATGAAGGGCCACAAACCTGTGAGGAAAAGGAGTGGGGAGGCCTGTGGCCCTGTATTTACCTGTGGAGGGGACATGCCTTTGCATGGAGTAGGACTGTGTTTTGCTTTGTAGTCCACAGAATGAAAAGATAATTAAAAAATGTCTCATTTCAACCTGATCCTGCATTTGCCTAGCAAAGAAGTACATACTTCTAACAGGCAAAACAGGTCAACTCTGACCGTGGTACGCTGCTGTGATGTTGAGGTGGGTTTTTCCAGGCTTTGCTGGTATAACTGCTCTTTCTCCAATATAGCTGCACACAGCTATGTTATCAGCTATTTTAGGAAAACTTTCAAACCCAAACCACTCTTCTAAATTATGATCACAGTGAATTTGGAAGCATCTTCTGCATGCACCTCTTCCAGTCCTAATCCTCTCTGTCAGGAATTTGCTTTGAGAAAAACTGGGCAACTGTTACCTTTAATGATGTATTTGCACAACTCTCAACACTTTCTGCTTGAAATGAGTACTATTAATACCCTGTTTTAAAACTACAAGTGAGGGATTTTCTACACAGAGATCTGTCTTTTAAGAATATGCCTGTGTAGCTACTGTGTGGCCCTGCCTGGACTTCCCTGGAGTGCCCAGAGAGAAACCCAGAAGCCACCCAAGGTCCCAGCACTGGGCTAACCCCCCTGTGCCTACTCCGGAAACATACCTCACAGTCACTGTGGCTCCACAGTTACAAAGCAACAACAAAAAGTCAGTCTGGATCTTCATTGCTGGTGAACTTGTGCAAAAGCGACAGGACGGGCCCACTAAGCAGTTTCTGGTTGCTGATACAGCCGGATGCAGGTATTACAAGTATAGATACTTCAAAATAGGGTTTGTTTGTTTGTCCCCACATTAACTGTCCCTGACTTATTGTGGGATGTTCGGGACTTTCCAGTGGTGTAATGCTGAACTGAGGTAAAGGCTTTATTTTCCATCTGTTTAAGTTTTTCCAGCAGCTAAATAGCAGTATTATGTTCTCACTGGAATGAGCATTGCAAATTTTGGAAAATACTGTAAGAGGGAAATGAAAGCTAACATGAGAATTGAATATTTATTCTTGCTTTCACTACTGTGCTTGAGCACAAGTTAGGGATAAAATTGATGTGTTTTTCACTGCTTTTTATCTTGTTGGCAAAAAGGTTCAGATTAATTCTGGGTTTTATTTCCATAGGCCTTGGAAGTGGCATGGTTTATCTGCCTGCAGTGGTCATGGTAGGGCAGTATTTTCAGAAGAGAAGAGCACTTGCACAAGGACTCAGTACCACAGGAACAGGGTTTGGAGCTTTCCTAATGACTGCCTTACTGAAGTACCTCTGCATCGAGTTTGGGTGGAGGAACGCCATGTTTATCCAGGGTGCTATTTCCCTGAACCTTTGCGTCTGCGGAGCGCTTATGAGACCACTCTCTCCCAAAGACATGGTTAGTGAAAAATATGCTGTGAGAAGTAACAGTGAAGATAATCAGGCAAAAGCTCTGTCCCATTCTGCAGAGACTGTAAAATCTAATGGAGTCCTCAGTGAAGAACCAGAAAAAAAAGAAGAGGCAACAAATGAAGATGTGCTTGACGGTGTTCAGCACATAGAATCTGGAGGTAAATCCAGAGATGGAAGGAACATGTATGGACTGCGCATTCTTAAGACAGTGAGCCAACTGACAGTTGCAGTCAGGAAGGGCTTTGCAATATGGTACTCCAGCTACTTTGGAGCTGCATCACTGTTTACCAATAGAGTATTTGTGGCCTTTATTATTTGGGCTTTGTTTGCCTATAGCAGCTTTGTCATTCCTTTTATTCATCTTCCAGAAATAGTCAAGCAGTATAACTTGTCTAGTCAGAACAATATGTTTCCTTTGACATCCATTATAGCCATTGTTCATATTTTTGGTAAAGTTATCCTTGGAATCATCTCTGATCTCCCGTGCATCAGCACATGGAATGTCTTCCTCGTGGCTAACTTTACCCTGGTCACTTGCATTCTTACTTTGCCACTAATGCAAACATACGTTAGCCTGGCTGTGGTTTGTGCTCTAATAGGATTCTCTAGTGGCTATTTTTCTCTAATGCCTGTTGTGACTGAAGATTTAGTTGGAACTAAACATCTTGCAAATGCTTATGGCATCATCATTTGTGCCAATGGAATATCTGCATTGTTTGGACCACCCTTTGCAGGTAAGAAGTTCAGATTGCTGACCAACAGATGTTTGTATAATAACCGTGTGACTCGTTATATTATTAAGATTTCATATGTTATGAGCATGTGTAGTTAACAGAATTACAGCTGCTCCAGAATGGACAGTACCATCCAGGTTTACATTGTGCAGATGTACAGGTCCCATCTGCTGGGTACCATCTCACTATTCACATAATACAAATCACAATCCTTGCAAATAACCCCAAATCTACTAAATCTATGTTTTTAATGTCATGTTTCCTTAAAGTATTATCATACACCTTTTTTAAAATGAGAACGGTTTAACCTATTTTAATGTGTTTTGTGCAGTGTAGGCACTATACATACTCATGCCTCTATCTAGATGAAAAAATGACAAATAGTTTTCAGGGTAGGCAGGTGTCTGTACCATAGTAATACCCCTAAGAACTATAAAGTGTGTTTGGGTGTCACCACTCTAAGCTGCCAATGGATGTGTCGATTTAACTAACTTTTAGCTTTGCCTTCCTTCATCCAGAAATATCTACTTTGGGGACTGCACTGCTCATAATCTCTTTATTGCCATCCACAGCAGAAGGTAGAAGTGTATGTATGTTGTCCCTTAAGTTTCTTAGGTTTAAACAAACATTCTTAAATTTTCTCATAGAAAGAGGCGGAGAAGGACAAAAGAGATGCAGGTACTGATTGATAACACTATAGCCAGACTTCAGCTATCTTTTAGAGAGATGCAAATCAGAAGAAAGCAGTAAGAAACCTTGTGAGTAATGGCTGTGGTCAATCAGGGACGGCATGAGGCTGAACTGAAGCTATTAGCAGCACAAGCAACCAAGAAAAGCGAGAACGCTCTCGCCTTTTCTCTCCACCTTTGAGTGAACTGATGTGATTTATAAGAAAGCTCATTCATTCCCCTTTAAAAAGCAGCACTTTTTCTACCATATATTATTTCAGCACTTCTTAGGCTGTGCTGAACATGTTTTTGTATTTGGCCATTAGTAATGAAGCAAATTAGTTGTTGTAAAAAAAATCTTCTGAACTTGAGGTTACATTGCAGTGCAGTCAGCATGACATGAGGGAATTTTGCTATTTTGGGCTCTCAAACCTTTCTGAAGTAACTTTAATATATTTTTGCAGAGGAATTAAGGTTGGAATGAGAGTCATTGCAGTACTGAAATTGTATCTCTTGAAAAGTCTTTTATCGGTATGTGAGTCTTTGAGAAAGCTATTGGGAATGTGTTTGCTTGCACAAGGCACAGCACTTGAACGGCAGTACTGGGCATTTTACAAAACCAGTAGCATTGTGGAAGAATTGATTGGTTTGGGATTCCAAAATGTCTATTTTAAAGTCAGACTTGTGGCAACTTGTTTGAAAAATGTACAGTTTTAGAGAGAAGGCTTGCTTGGCTTCTTAGGATGGCACATAGATAGAGTGCCATTTTAAATCTTCCATGACACTTAAATAAGGGGATAAGCTTTGCACTGGTCTGGGGTTCTGATGTATGAACAGGAGATTTTGTGAATACATTTCCATTTGTAGCATCTAAAGGAGGAGACAGTTGCCACGTCTTTTTTTCCACAAAACCCTCGTATAGATTTGACTGAAATGTCATGAAAGAAATGTGCAGTATTTTTCATGTCTTCCCATGCAACATACCTTGTTGTCAAGCTTTGTTACAAACATGTTTTGTCCTTACTTTGCAGGTTGGATCTATGACATCACACAGAAATATGATTATTCTTTTTACATATCTGGCTTGCTATACATGGTGGGAATAGTATTTTTACTTATACAACCTTGTATTCAAAAGAAACAACCAAGGGAAAAATCTACGGAAGAAGCACAAGTATAGAACAAATTCCAGAAGTTTTTTTACAGAATTTTCTTTGTTTTCATGTTTCTATTGTATGACATTATGAAGCTGTTTTTCGTACAGAACCAACCACATTGAGCTATACATAAGAGAAAAGCAAATGTGCACCATAATGCTAATAAATTATTAGAAATGTGTTTTTTAAATGAGTTAAGATCTTTTACTTTAAGAACTAACAAATAAGTAATTAAAAGCACCCTGCTAGTCTTTTAAACTTGAAACAATGCTAGAAGCCTGTACCCTTGGTTCTCTTTTTACTACTCACCACTACACATCGGTGAAACTTCATTGACTGCAGTGCAGTTACTCCTGATTTACACTGGTCTTACATGAGAATTTGATCAGGATATGAACGATTTATAAGAGCTCTTCTTACTATGTATTCTGTCTGATAAAAGATTAGTTACTGAGTATGAGAAAATGATTGTATTTCTTACCTGGCTAGTCAGGTAGTGTTGAAATGCTAGTACAATAATTCAATTAATTCAGTGTACAGAAGTTACTATTTCTGTGATGCAAAACTGAAGGAAAGTACTTACATTTTTTCTGAAATTACTCTCTTCTTCAAGGATTTTTAATTTATTAACTGCATGATGAAGTAGCCATCCTCAATACATAAGCTGCATTATAAATGCTGTGACAATGCTGCTGAAGGAAAACATAAAAGCAGAAACAGGCAACATATGGAAATTATTACTGTTATTCACAGATTGGAAAATGTTTCCAGAAACAGTTGGAAGTTTCTGGTTGCTTTACCAAATTAGAGGTATTGCAGAACTTTGTAACATTGCAAGTGACTCCCTCCATGGGACTTGCCAAGTAAACTACTAGAGAAACAGAGTTAAGCAAAATTGTCCAAATATACTTTTAGAAAGAACAGGACTACAGCACACTAAATTTTGTTGCAATAAAATTAATACCAAAACCTGTTATAATGTCATAATGCACACCATGAACTGTCTAAGACTGGTCACATTTGAGATGTTTATTCACTAGAAAATCAGATAATGCAGAGCATGGCAGAGCTAAAGACCATTTAAAATATTCAAATTACTTTTTTTAACATGAAATACCTGGTAATCAATGCAGAATGCTTTGTATGGTGATGCAGGACACACTTTTTCCAGCTTTGAGAGGTGAGTCTGAAGTTAACTTTCCGATCAAATAAAGGTCACTGTAGGTTTTTTTCCTGCTAGCATTTTTGAAAGTTTATTGAGACAAATCAGGTTCATAGTTTAACACTGATATATGCTGCTGGAATTCTTTAAAAGCAATTGATACTATTCAATGATATTGAACAAATACTGGGAAACAGTTCAGAATGCAATGGTATCATTATAGAGATCTTCTTCATAACTGCAAGGCTGGTTAACAAAAAGTTCTGAACCATACTTTGTATTGTTCTATATTGCAATTCACCAGCTTCATAGTTTCACACTTCTACAACTGTTGGCAGGGTCATACTTTAAAATAGATCACTGAAATGAGCCGAATTGAAAAATAAAACCTTAAGAACCCCCTGAACTACTTTAAGATTTAGATCAGTTCAATCATACAGGAGAGTTATGTATGGCCTTTAAAACTTATGTTAAAACAACTGAGTTGGCAGCAAACTGCAACACATGGTGTGAACACACAGGTAGCAATGTCTTAAAATCAGCCTTTTTGTTGGAGGAAACAGTCAGGTAAACTACACTTTCACATCAGTTCTTTTGTTACAGGTTTATATGTCTTCTTGGTGTGAATGCTGCTGCTGGCTTATTCTAACTAACTGAGCTATCTTTTATTGGTGTAATATATATTGATGATTTCCCTCCATTTCCTTTCTGAAAGATATGTACCCTTTACACTTAGATCTTCACTTTGTCTTTTGTCAAAATTAACTTTATTTGCATATTACTGTAATGCATAATATGTTGTTCACTTATGATATCTGCAATATAACTTCCTATAGAAGTCCTTACTGGGCCATATAATGGAATAAACTTACATTACCCAAAATTTCACTTTCTGTTCGTTTTACTAATTAAGTTCATTCTTTTTAAGCTTAAAAATGAAGATTCTCCTGCAAAATTATTATTCTTATTTCTTCTAGCGAAAGGGACGGATACGTGGTTGATCAAGGAAAAGGGAAGGTAGCCTGTCAAAAGTGAGTTAAATTAGGATTTAAAACTAATATTCAGTCAGTCCATACTGACTACATGGGTTCTAGTTTCCTAACCTGAAACTGCCTATATCTGTTATGAGAGCACAAGCTAAGAAAAAATTCTTTTCTGGTAAATTGACAGAAAGTGAGAAAAGAGGGTGTGTTGTTTAGTAGCTCTGCTTACATACTGTAGTTCTTAAAATCATCTCTCTAAAGCAAAATTACATTTTACAGTGTTTTATTAAACAGAACAGAAATTTTATGAATACAGTATTTTATGCACATCATGATATTTATGTCATTGTCCTAAAAGGAAAGAGTCACAAAGAGGAAAGAATATACTTAACCGTTTCTTCTATCTAAGGATCTACAGTCACCAAATGCTTCAAGAATATTGGTATATAGTTGTAGAACAAAATATTCTTAATATAAATTCGCAAATATCTTCAAAGGATTAAAATACTACTTTATAAAGGAACAATCATTTAAGAACCCCGTATTCATAGTTTTTAATCAGTTTATAAAATTCAAGTTTAATAACTGACATTAAAAAATTGTAAATGTAATACACTCTTTGACTATTACACTAATATATCCAAATACTGCAATCACTGTTTTTAATACTTGGGTCTTTACTCAGTTTTTGTTCTGTTTTGTTTCTGCCTCCTCCTTCAAACCTGCAGCTGTAGCTGAAGACTGTGAAGAATCGATTCCAGGCCATTTCCTGTGCAAGTTCTTTCATTTCAGGTGTAATTGTGCTACACAAGTTCCCCACAGTATCTTCCCAGAGCACATTACTGTTACAAATCTCTAGTAAGAGAAAGTAGAGACTTACAATCATTATTTGGCTTAAAAGTAGAGGCTTAAAATTATTACTGAGGGGTTTACTCATTGCTGATGATTTCACTACACAAAATGTGTTTAGACAACACAGGTGCCTTGTATGAAGGTCACTTGCAGTGCAAACTGCCCGCCCATCTTGAAAGATGCAGCATTAGTTAAAACTCACAATGACATCAGTGGAAGTTTTGCCAGCACAAGATACTGCATGTTCTTCTGTGGAAAATCTGAGAAGTCTCTTCTCGTGTGGTATCTGACACACTAAAAGCAGCTGTAATGCCTCATACTCTCCTTGTATGTAAGTCATACAGCCCCACAGAATCAATGAAGCTGTGTATGATTTTGAAAAAGAACTTGTCAGGATGTAGAAATCACATCACAATCAAGAATCTGTTTTCAAGGTAAGTAAAAGCAGCAAATTGCCTTTGGACTTATGCTGGAAATGCAATTCTAGGAAGCTTTCTGAAGCAATATAGGATTAAGACTGTTTCTTGGGAGATGCCTCCCTCTTTCAGAATGACTCCATAAACACAATCAGATGCAAATACTACATTATAAACAGGAAGAAAAATTCATGCAATTTGTTGGGTGACAGAACCATCATTAAAAATAATTAGGAAGATACTGTGTCATTGTATATTATCTCTATTTTAGGTTACACCAGAGCCTAATAACATTAATTCTTTCCCCAAACATTCCACTTTTCTAAATGTGTAATTGCAGGGAGTTGTACTGGATTACTGCAATGCAAGTGGCTGGTATGTCTGTCACAAGCAGTAACAGAAAGAGAAAAGTAAAAGTCCCGGTATAACTTCTGTTCCATACTGCTGATGTAGCTAGATACCTTAAACCGCTGTATTCACTTAACTACAGCAAAGCTGTATCACAGTATGTGTGGTTCTATTTTTATTGTTCTTGTATTGGGAGAGTGATCAGACTGCAGGCACACACAACATGCTAGCATACTTTAGCAAAGGAAAAGCAGGGATTATTGGGGAAAGATTGCTGTAGAAGTCCTGAAATGATAATATATGCATTTTTAAAGTTTTTGTTATATTTCTGCTTGCTCTCTGTCTCTCACCATCCTGCTGCTCCTATGAAAAATGGACATTATTAAGTCAAAAATAGCAGAGACTGCGGTTTAGTATCATCGATCTGTATTTCCAAATACAGTGCTCTGTTAAAAAAATACAGAGAGAAAAAGCTATGATCTCTGTCCTTACTGCGGCTTTCTCTCCCGGTCAGCGGCTTCTCAATTGCGCAATAGCAATGAGAACTCTGGCCGTGCGCTGGGCGTCCTGCTCCCTCTGGCGGGAGCGCATCCCAAGCTCGGGCAGAGCCGGCGTTTTGCCTGTCCTGGCTAGCTGAAGACTTGGTACGAAACGAACTGAACGAACCCCACCCCGAGCTTGTGTTGGGACACACCGCAGGAGAGCAGTTCGCTGGAAAAATGTTTGGAAAGCTCAAGCAGTGCTCGAACGGTGGTGTCCACATTAGGACTTCTGTACTTTCTTCTGAGATGGAGCTTCTTCTATAACCCTTAAAAACAGCACTTAAGACAATTTAAAGTACTCTGAAATAGATATTGAAAGCATCAGAATACTCTGGAAAGCAGCCTTTACGTTCAGAACTACACAGTCAGAGAAGTGCCATGCTTTGGGTAACAAATGGAGTTCAGCCTACGAGGGGCGCACTGCACGGGATGTACGAATGGAGCCTCTCACTCGCCTTTTCAGTCCTGAGTGCAGAGACTGTTCTATTTTTCCCTATTGGAAAATCTGAATATGCTATAACTCTGCAGAAAGCAGCATTCCAGCCTACATGTCAATTAATCTGGAAATGAAAACTTACAGTATTGGGGCAAATTTTTAATTCCTTAAAAATACTGCTGAAATGAGAGAAAGAGAATATGGCATTACCAGTTGCAATAGGTTATTTCAGTACCTCATCCTACTCAGTTTGCACTCTGCAAATGACAGACTGCTTTCAAATACACTAATAAATCATTTCCTGACCTCCTCCTATTCATTCTTTTCCTCTCCTTTAGTTGTTTTTATTCTCTCATCCTCTATCACTTGTTTCCCAGTCACAATATCAACTGGTTTATCTTCAAACTGAAATAAACCCCAGAACTCAGCAAATTTATCTGCTTCTATCTGCCCTTCATCTCTAAATTCACAACATGCTCTATTTTACTATTTCACCATTTTCTCCTGGGCTTTCTTTGCACCATCTCCTATTTACTGTGCTCACTTGAACTCACTCTTGCTAAAGCATCTGCAATGTCTTTATAGGCATGCCACAGGAACAGTATAGCCATGTCCTCTTGAACTGTCAGCAGTCTTCCACAGAACTTTTCTTGAACTCTTGGTCCACATGGCCTCAAAATAATACAAACCCTGTGAGTAATCTCATCCAGATACAATTTGGAGATGTACTCTGTACCAGAACACGTCCTGTTCTCCAAAATAACAAGTTAATCTGTCTCTCTGAAGTCTTTCAGAGAGTATCTACCTGTCAGATCTGACTGAGGATGACTAAACCTGTTTTAATCTTCCTCCTGAGGTCTCACCACTACTTACATTTTCAGTAACCATACAACCAATAACTTGACAGGCTTCATTCTAGGCTCCTACAGCAGCCCTGGGGATAAAAATCAAGTTATTTTTCTCTTTAATATGCTTCTCTTCCTATTTTCATAAGTTAAAACCCTTTTCTCCCCCTACCTGAGTTACTGCACCAGCCGTTTGTCAGGCTCTGAGTGGGACAGAAAATGCAATACTGAGGTATTCAGACCCACAGAAATAAGCTTCCTAGGTCACAGCTTTGAACATACTATCTTTTCATGCCTCCAATTACCTGACCCTGCACAGACTAGGAAGCTGGAATAGACGAGCTTTCCAACAGCCTAAGGTAATCCTATGAGTTTTCTGTTTTTGCATCAACAGACTGGCCCTCATTCTCCTGGGACTTCCTGGCCATCCCTCCTGGTTTGTCACCCCTCATTCAGCACTGAGAGGCTACCCTTCGCTCCAATCAGCCTCTGTGCTTCTTACAGTTCCTCGCTGTGAGGTCTAAAAACTCCTGAAAAAATCTCTTTCCTTGTGTTCCTGTCTTTTGTCAAAGACTTAAAACACAAGCTCTCCAGGAGCAATGATTTTTTTGTTTGTTAATGAGTCTAGCATAAGGGGATCTTGGTCTGTGGTTGAAGTTTCTAGACATTACAGTAATACAAATCATAATGCAAAGCATAGAGTTTACATCTAAAATACTTAATCCTGGAAGCAGTGTATAACACCCAACCATGGGTTACAACGGAACTATCTGGATCATTGTGTTTATTATATGCAACAAAATTTTGCAGGATAAGCACAGTGTCTCTAACTGCCTTTGTAAGATCTAATTTTTATTGCACCCATTCACTTGTTTGTATGCAGATGATCAATTTATTGCCTCAAACTTTAAGTAAAGCAGACATATTGACTATTATATTTAACACGAGTCAAAACCAACATGCTGCACAGAAGAGCTAACAATTCAAAAATAATTTACATAATTTTTTTAATTTTCATTTTTAATTTTTTTTTACCATTTCAAATCTGCTTGAAACTTGAGAAAGCCTGGCAATATCTTCAAGCTCCAGAAAGGAAATGATGTACAGGAGCAATGGGACAGGAAGGCGTTTCAGGAAGTCATAGTTACCTCGGCACAGATTGAGGACATGTTCCAGAACTTTGGCACCAAACACTATAGCTAGCAATCTGAACTGTGATTAAAAGAACAACAACCCACAAAGAAACCCAAGCGACAACAGATTTGTAAAAGCCTGAAATTTCTTCACAATAATCCCACATTGTTCAGATACATCTGAAAAAAATCAGAATTTCTTTTTATGTTTTCTAGAGAAAATAACATATTATATCTTATATTGAACATTAGTAATACATAGTATTTCAATTCATCTTAAGAGCTGCTAGTGGCGTCAAGGAAACCTGTGCAGTAAAACATGGCTTTAGTTAAAAGACTGTACATTGTCCAGTATACAGAAATAACTTGTCTCAGCTCAAGAACATTAAAACAGCAGCAAAGCAGAACTGAAACTTGGCCATATCTATTTTGTCCACTTTTCCACATACATGTACATATACTTACATAAAGAGTGTGCTATTTACTCAGGAGGAGGTTAGTAAAATGACTGGGAAAAAATACCTCAGTTGCATGTTTTGGGGAAAATAATGATGGCTCTGACATTAAGAGTTCCTGCAGTTCTGCTTCTTTTCTCATGGAGGTACAGTCAAACCTTTAAAATGAAATTGAAGACAGCTGTCTTCTACAGTGATATGATATTTTTTGACTCATTCACTTTGTGATCCAATACAATGCCAATTTTTTTCTATAGATCCACTTAGTGAGCTACTCCCTATCCTACATTCATACAGACAATTATTCCTGCTTCAGTGTCCAACTTGGTCTTTCATACAGGGACACATTGGGGATCAAATTTTAAATTTAAAGCAGAATTACCATTTTTTGTTTCTTTTTAACTAACTAGAGTCTATCTTCTCATGTATGTTAAAGTCATAAAAGGACAATCAGAATCATGAAAGTTGAAACTATACTGACCATAGGCATTATATGCATCCAATTTTGACGCAGCAATTTTCCTTCCAAAATATGTTGTAAGATCAGTTACAAATCTCAAGCTTATGTGAAACACATTGGAAAGAGCTTTCCAAATGATAAGATTTTACAGTTAAGATATTAAGACTTTTTCTTCTCTTTTTGTTTCGAATATCTCTAAGGTAATTATGTAGAAGGAAGCTATAACCTTATCTTCCTTCATGTCTTTGGGTAGATGTCCCAATACTGTTCAAGCTTTCTCTTCTGTTGCTATATCATACTGCAAGTGCAAACAAGTTGCTGTTGGTTCTCATTTGCCTTTTTACTTTCCACGCCATCTCAGTTCTATATAGTCAGTAATTTTTCTCAAACTCTTTATGCAAGTATAAAAATGATCTACACAGTCAACTATTAATTGTCTGGCTGATCTAATTCAAGCTGATACATCAGAATGATCCAAATCTTCACATGCTAAGAATGACAATGATAATGTTTGTAGTGTGCATCTATTTAATGTTGAATGATTAAGCAGGCTGCTACATGAATATTTGTAGTTTCTTGAGTTTTCCTTGAAAATTATTTCTAATAATTTGACCAATAATGTGACCTGGTTTGGCTATTTAAAAATATATTTACCTGTATTTATCTTGCTTTATAAATGTATCTGCAGCTCATGATGAACTAACTGTGAAAGTATATTGAACTTCAGGTTTTCTCTGAAATATTCGTCCTGTGAGTGCTGGATACTACATGATGACTGACTGTTCACGCATCCAAAAATGTAAATAGACCTTTCTTCTCTTGCCCTACACTATCATCAATTAATTTTCCACCTTCAGAAAACCATAACAAAAATCTAGCCATATACAAAATCTTGCTCTTCCCTCTTGGCTTCATCGAGACTACGAAAATAAACTAATAATACTTTACTTCACTGTCTGAAAAAAGAAAAGCAAATACCTCAAAACAAACACAGATCTTTACAGCTTTATGGGAGTTAACAGAAATGTAATAAAATGGTAATGTTTATTATAAAACTTCTTCAGTTTTCTACTGGATGCTTCAAATGCCTGTATGGGATATTGATAAAATGTTTCATTTGCAGAGGGACTAATTCTTCCCGTGCCCACTGGAAATAATCTAGTCCCCTTCATTTTTATTTATTTTTTATAACCCACCTCCAATTTTCTCTAAAAATCTTCAACCAGGTGAAAACATGAAATTTTATGAATGAGAACTAGGGAGATAACAACAGGAAACATTAATATTTAACAACAGATAAACATTTTGCTGATAGGGGTGTATCAAATATTTAGCAGCAAACCATGAGTCTGGTGAAGAGTCTTTTGTTTGAACCCTCATTTGACAAAAAATTCAGTAAGGACAACTAGAATATTATTCCAGTATATATATATATCTGTGGAGAATTATAGAAAAAAGTAAATCTGTGAATACTTATCAGAACAGCAGCAAAGCTTCTCTTAACAGGAGGTGAGAAGGAGGTGTAAAAACATCAGATTGTGTGGAATAGCAAGAGCTATGGACAGAAATAATATCAATATAACAGTACAACTTCTCACAAACACAGTAATTTATAGTTGTAATACTTCTATTTATGTTAGCATTTTTTCTGAAAACAAACCACTTTTAAAAGAAAATTTTACTAAAAATCAAAGGGAAAACCCCATGTAGAATTTTAAAGATAATTTTAGGAGGAAGAAACGACTAAATGCTAGGAAAGAATGGCAACTGTGGCTTTCAATACTTCCTGTGGGATAGGAAAACTGAACTACCAGTAACACTTTTCAAGAAAAAGCAGGCAGATCTTATTTGTAATGTACTGAAAATACACAGGATAACAGTAGGAAACTGCATGTTAACAATTACTTAACTATTTGAATCATTGCACTCAGGTAATATAAACCAGATGTTTTATTGTGACATTATATTAGTATCAAATGCCACAGGAAAATCTTACAGTATAAGTAATGAGGAAAAAAACCCAAGCTAACCCCTTCTAGTCAAAACAAGTAGTAATAACTTTGAATTAAAGATTTGTTTTATTATGGACTCTGAGTGCTGACTGAAATTTTTCCCATGGTTTGTGTATATATCCAGTCACTAGAGCTGAGAATATGCAGTCTTTCCATCAATTCAGCACTAACAGCAGTCACCCACAGTTCCCCACCCAACTGCCTATGAAATTTTATTTAAACCAAATTCACTTGAGATTGGTCTGTTACAAAAGGTATAATCAGGATCAGAAACACAAGTATAAACATAGAGATGCAGACCATATTAACTTACCAGGGCTAAAAATCTCTTGATTGTGCTGTAGGAAGTGTTAGATCTTAATAGACAAAGCATAGGAAACATGCGTTGGTCTTATTTCTGACCCTAAATGAAGTTTACTCTCAAAACCAGATATATGGTCTTGAGGAAAGTTCTACTCTCTCCCCTACCACCTGAGATTCATATACTTCCTGGAAAAGCAGACCTCCTCTGCCTAGGTGTAAATAAGATGGTGTTTACCAGAGCTGTTGATAAAGGACACAGGACTTCATTTGGAAATGACATCTTTCAAGTTCATCATAAAAAGAGAATAAATATGAAGTCACATCTGTAATTAGATTTTTTACGTCTAGAAGTCACATCTGTAATTAAATTTTCATGTCTGTACACAATCAGAATACAAGAGCTGCATATTTAAAAACAAAAAGAAAAGAATAAATAACAAATCTCACCAATGCAAGGTGTTTGAGTGCTACGTAATCTTTTGGGCTACAAAACCCTCAGGTTTCAATCCAGTCCCTGCGGGTGCAGTTATGAAGTTCTCCATTTTCAGACCAGGTCATAGCTCAGACCTCAGTTATTCACTGAAGTTGCTGAACGAATGTGTCTTTGGCTTATTATTTTCAGGGGACTGTTTCCTCTGTGAGCCACGAGCAACTATACTTTGTGACATGAAATCTCTTAAAACTAACTCATTATTGACAACCAAGATTATAAGATGTAGAGCAGTAACTACTTGGGATATATAGTCTCATGGAACTTTGGGGGAAGGGAAAAAGCATGACTATTTCAGATGTTCTCAGTGGCCAGTCTATCAGGAACAGGTTGGAAAACAGCTCTATAAATCTACATTTTCGGGTTTAATTAGTGGTGTCCCTAATGACTTTCTTTTTCTGGCTGTATGCTCCTACAGTCATGTTGCACTACTATAATCCCAAGTACCTGTTGCATTTGGTGTCACATGAAATCAGATTGGAAATCCAGGTGACACATGACATGGCCATAAAAACAAATATGCTGGCTCAGAGCATTTTAAGAACTGAGTTATTAGCAATAAAAATACTGCTTTCTGTATTATTTTTGTTACTAATACCTCTGTCACTGTCTTATAATGAAACTATCAGTATTGCTGGGATTTATCCTACATTTACTGTCATGTCTTTTTGTTTTTCCAGTATTTATATGTTAATTTATATTAGTAAATTCATATCAAAAAATGCCTATTAGCCAAAGCAATCATATCTTTCATGAAAGTTACTAGAGATCAATATTGCTAGATTATTCCATTACATGCCTTAGCAAATATGTAATTACTATTGTCGTCTTACTATGAAGAGATGAAGAGATGAATCATCCAAAAGTCCTCCCGGGATTCTATAATTTCTCCAGGTCTTGAATCACTAAACTTGTTCCTAAGTGAGATTTTCCACCCTTTTACCTACAAGTGTGAAAGAACTAAAAAGAAAAAATGAAAAAGAAATTAATATCCAGTACCATGAGATAAATACATGGCTAAGATTCAGGACTCCAGTTGTGTAAATATTACTACATTCCCAAAACAAAATTATCATAAGAGATCAGACCACGGTTACATTACCAGCGGCCCTACTACATGCTTCAAAGAACAATAAACATCCCATAATGCACCTAGACAAGTGTGAAATGTTTTTACATACAAAGAAAATGTTCCCAACCCATGTGCAAATTGCTCACAGAAATCAAAGCACATTTAATGATACTTCAACCTGCAAACCCATAAACATTCTCTTTTTGTTTTTCCAGTTAGTCGCAGAAACAGAGTTCATCAGGAATTATGTGTTTAAGTAGAAATACCCATTCAACAGCTCAGGTATTCAAAAGTGGCACTATTAGAAGTTAAACTGTCATTTTATCATTTTGTTAAAATCAAAATGAATAGGACAGTTCAAAGCTCAGCACTTAGACCGTCTGAAAACTCTGGAAAAAGCTCTCCAGAAGTACACATTCAACTCACATTTTCAGAGTCAGAAAAAGAAAAGGAAGCCTGCATTACAAAGCATGCGACTGAGACAAATGGTTAATATCAACAGTAAATGATGTAGCTATGAAATGATGGAGAACAAGTGAGGATTTTACATTGTTATACGTATAGGTGGATTCCTGACACACTGATAAAACTGACAAATGAGATTAACGAGGGGTACATTTATAAACACAAGTATGTAAAAAAAATACACTCCACAGAGTCTTATTTTTTCTACTGGCATGTAGAAAAGGAAAATGAAAACCAAGCCTTGAGTTAACTGTCAATAAGCCATAGAAGACTACTCACATATACTGTCTGAAGAACACAGGCTTAAAGTTACTATTACAAATCTTAGATCTGACAACAGTGGTTTACATATCTAAACATGAGTTTTACTTTACATCTCTCCAGTATTTTAATGTCTAAATGCGTATCTTAAATTTGAGAGGATTATCAGGGGGCTGGAGCACCTCCCATATGAAGACAGGCTGAGAAAGTTGGGGCTGTTCAGCCTGGAGAAGAGCAGGCTGCGTGGAGACCTCATAGCAGCCTTCCAGTATGTGAAGGGGGCCTATAAGGGTGCTGGAGAGGGACTCTTCATCAGGGACTGTAGCGAAAGGACAAAGGGTAATGGGTTCAAACTTGAACAGGGGAAGTTCAGGTTAGATATAAGGAAATTCTTTACTGTGAGGGTGGTGAGGCACTGCAACAGGTTGCCCAAAGAAGTGGTAAATGCTCCATCCCTGGCAGTGTTCAAGGCCAGGTTGGGTGACATGGTCTATGGTGAGGCATCCCTGTCCAAGGCAGGGGGCATGGAACTAGATGATCTTAAGGTCCTTTCCAACCCCAACCATTTCTATGATGTGTAACGCCCAATGAGTTGTATTCACTCTCATACTTGATTTTCAAATTAAAGCTCAGATTCCAGACAACCTAATGCAGGCCCACACCAATCATTTCTATATTTTTTCCCATCTTGTTTGTATACTGTTGATACCTCATATACAGTAAATAAGTAGCAGTAACACTAAATAAGTTTGAACACAGGCTTAACATCTACATTTGAATGTCAAATATAACCAACCAAATTTTATCATTCTGATGTTTATTGTGGCTAATATATCATTATAGGGTATAATTGGAATTACTAAATCATATTTCTGATAGCATACATACAAAATAGCTTTGATTAACTCTCAGACATATCCACAATACTCTGTAAAATAACCCTTATTATGCGACTAAAAGGAAACACATCCTACTTAGTTGTGTAAGTTCATCCTATTTTACAATGACATACACAATCTTTATTCCTTTGCAGTGAAGCAGTCGACTTTTTAAAGGCAAAACCCCCCATTCCTCCAATCTGTATTCTAAAATTTAATATATGAAAAGTAAATTACACCACTGAAACATTTTATAATAAGAGAATTAACATTTCTGTAATGTACACGCACAGTATACACTGCCACATTGCTAAAATAACTCCACTGATAATATGAGGATTCAATGCAAAAGAGGTTATAAACCACTTGTCATTCTGTTTCAGGGACAATCTTCCTACCTGGGAGGGCTTTAGAAGTAGTATGTTTGTAGCCCACTACAGGGATAATGACAGTGAATGCTGCACTGTACTGTACATCCGAAAGCTCTTTTTATCTCTAGCAATGTAGGGAGAATCAGCATGTAAGGCTACTTCCATTCTTATCTGTGGGAAACAAGAGGTGAGAATAAGGTCAGAACAAAACTGATAGGCAAATGGTGAAAGAAAAGACATCTTTCTACATGTTCCTCAGGCTGCATACCCTTCAAAATGGTATGTAAGAATACAGTGCATTG